ATCTAAGCTAAGGCAACTGTAAATTTTTTCAGGATTACTTTACAAGGGGGCAAATACAGCCAACCCTTGACGCTAGCCCGGATTACCAACTCCTCAATGCATCTGAAGTTGGTGGATACACTGAACTGATGTTTGAAAGACGACGTGATACAGGTGATAACGACAACGATCTCACTTTTATGGTAAGTAGCTCACCTTTTCTATAGTAATAGTAATTAATAACTCTGGAATGGCGAGACGCGCAGAAAATTATGTCTCTTTTGAAAATGATTCTGCCCTCTTAGAGCCGGAGCGTTTAAAAAAATCAAAGCCTTCCTCCTCTTATTTAGCGTTTACCGAGGGGAATTTGACGAAAGTGAGAGAGTGGATGCAAAATCATATTCCCCTGATTCCGGGTTGTTCAAACCTGGGTCAAAATAACCCAGGGTAAGTGCAAGATTTTTTAATTCAAATATGAAAGAGAAAACAGCTTATTCAGTTTAATTCTATTTGTCTACAATTTGATGATTGAATGGTATAAAAATAATAGAGAAAATTATCTAAAAAAAACTTTGAACAAAAGATGAAGAAACCTGGGTTAAAATTTAACCCTATATTAGCGCTAATATCGGCCTTCGAACAACTGGACCCCACGATTATCATGTTATATCCTGGCCTCGGTTCCTGGAAAGCCCTGATTAGTGTTAATTCAGGATTAATCGCTAATCGGAGGATAGTATAATCGGCTTTCCAGGAACTGGGGCCAGGAATCCCTTTTTAAGAAATTTAAACGTGGATTAAACGCTAATCGAAGGATACTAAAATCGGCTTTCCAGGAACCGGGGCCTGGTCACCAGTAGATAGACACAGTTTTAATTTCCCTGCTCCCATCCCCTCACCGTTTGCAAAAGCGAAAAGAGGAAAACTTTGCTTTAGCCTGCGAGCAAGCTCTCCGGGATCAGCGCTCTGGCGGCGGCACGAAAAAGGAGAGCGCCCCAGAGAGCTTTCTCGCAGGTTAACTTTGCATGGTATTTGCTGCCTCGTCCCCAAGTCTCCCTACTTGTTGCTAGGAGACTAGTGATTTGTCTATTATGGGAAAATGAATTTCCCAAGGTGACACCCTGTGCCGCTCCCTGTTTTCCTTGCCAAATTCCTAAAAAGAAACGTAACAACTAAGCAATAACCATAAAGAACATATAAGCCACTGTAACATTACTAATTTCTGCCCTTATAGTAAGGGTGAAATCTCCAGCTCTTTCTGTTTCTTTCTCGTTATTTATTTCAAACAAGGAACATGCCCAGCGGTATAACGAGTTAAATTTCTTACAATCCATTCAGTTTCCAAGCGGTTTCGTTACATGATGAACTCGCGACAACTGTTTGGCTGGAAGTCTTTCTCATTTGCACTAACCCGCCAAGAACGAATAGTAAATGATGCCAAACCAAGACTCTCTTTACTCTGAATAACTTAGCTATTTTTAAATACTTCTGTGTTTAAATTAAATTGCAGCCTGGTGGCCAATTTTATTTCGTTTGGGCCTATCACACCGGAGACGTCACCGATATCAGCAATTTTCAAAAACATTCGAGGTCGGGCGTTAGTCCTGAGAAGTATACCGTGGTTTCAGCTCAGCAACCTATTCCGACAGAAGCTGCTGCACCCTCTCTGCAGTATTCAAGCATTTGTGGACTCTTTTCTCTCTTGGTAGCAATGATAAATGCTTTATCTCTGAGCAGCTGAGTGGGAAAGAGAACTAAAATAATTCTTAAAAACAAGATCATCTTTTAATCGAGAACAATAAGATAGTCAATGCTACACACTTAAGGGACATCAAAATTTGCTACCTCCACTTTGTGTTGCGTTTGAAGGCTAGCACCTGTACTAATTAATAGAATCGGTATCTCAAGAAACCTTTCACAACTTTCCCTGCCGACAGACAAACAATAATTACAATTGGCCGTGTCATTAGACAAAAAAACTTAACATATTATAAAGATACTACAACTTGTAAGAAAATCGTCACTGTAATTTTCTTTCTAGTTTAACGGTCTTTCATTTCATTACGTTCCTTAGACATGTATAGTATTTCGAAATAAATTGAACATCACTTCTTCACCTATGTCAAAGAATGAACGTATTGTTTTTAAAAGTACTTCACATTCTACTGGGTTGTCCATCTAGTTCCCAGGGTTCTCTCTTACTCGTCCTTGCGAAGGGAGGGACAAGTTAGAGAGAACCATGGGAACGAGTTTGCAATTGTAATTGCAATTTGTTTACCCACGGAGCACTTAGGAGTTCTTAAGAACACGTTGAAACGTGTCCGTGTGTTCCAGATCGAATTGGAATTTGGACTGTTAGTTTTTAAGGAGAGGGGAAAACCGGAGTACCCGGAGAAAAATGGAGAAAGGAGAGAACCAACAACAAACTCAACCCACAAATGGCGTCGACGTCAGGATTCGAACCCGGACCACATTAGCATTTTGTAACCTGCGAAAACAGCCGTCTCTCCTCACTACTCGCCGCTAGGGACGCTAGCGACAGAAATTTGTTTGATTCTTATGTGTCTCCTGGTCGATTACGATAAAGTTTTGTGTTCTTCTGCGAATGAGCACCAGCAAAACTCAAATGCTTCTTCTAAAGAAATGAATATATTCCACGAATATTGACTGTTTTGTAGTAAATTCATCGCGTTAACATTTGACGTTTGTAACCGTTTGCCTGTCGTTCATAATTAATAGCTAAAACAATATAACTACTACGTCGACTGATCAGAGCTCCTGACCAGATTCCGGACAGATTTTACGTCATAAGTAGAGAATGGCCCTTATGCATGTTTACGTCAGACGAGCAAATTTCACCACCAAGCCACAATCGTCAAGTTGCGAAGTTTTGGATAAATATATTCCCATTAAGGAAGTAGAGGTGAATAGAATAAACCCAGCACATCAAGTGCAAATGCGAAGAATTTTTCCTTCAGACGAGGCGCGGTGGTGAAATTTGCTCCTACGAGGTAATCATGCATAAGGGGCATTTCTGTCACTGAGGCGTAGACGTCCCTCCTGGCGAGAGACCGCTGTAGTGCCGAGCAAGCGTAAACAACCACGCAGACGATTTTGCATGAACAAGCCTAGAAATGCTTTGTTGTTTACCAATTTACCTTCGATCAGTACACAGTCTGGTTTCTTTAAAAATGGTGCGTTTTTCGTTTCGTTTTGCTAACATGCTAAATTATGGTGTACAATTTCCGTATAACCCCATACATTTATTACTATTCGTGTGAAATAGTATGAAATTGCTGCATGCGTAATAATTTATAGCATTACTTTGGTCTTGTGCAATGGGCCCCATTTTCGCTAAAAACTCTTCTTGAAGAAAGCTCTCCTGCACAAGCCAAACAGTTACCGGTTATAGGCTTCTTCGTATTAGAAGATCATGAAAGCAGCGCGAAAGACGCTGGCCTCCAATATTTTTGTGCCCAATCATAAGCCCCATTTACACTACAGAAAAAAATGGGTCCGGACCCATAAAAAAGTTGGTATGAACAAGATATTTTTGCCGTGTAAACCTTACGTACCATGTGTTCATGAAATGGATCCGGACTCGCTTTTTTCTGGTTTTGGGGCCATAGGCGGCTATGACCCCAAAACCGAAAAAAAAAACGAGTCCGGACCCCTTTTGCTGTTCGAAAGCGCCGTGTAAACGCATCTTCGTTTGGTTAAGAGTAGCATCCCAGGAGCTCTCTCGCCCGTTCTTGAAAAGCTTTCGCCGCCGTTTTTCCTGACCGCCCCTGGGCCTCAGAGAATGAAATTTTATGAATGCTATCATAGAGATATTTATGTATCTCAGTCTTAAGCGTTCTATTTTAGACATGTCTATTTCCCTACAAATTTCACGCGTCAAGCCTGAATAACTAACTTTTTTACTTATGTTATATTTTACATTTCCAAGATGTTCGCTATGAAGACTCTGCGATTTTTTAGACAACAGAAGGTGTTGATAGCGATTTCACAAAGCTCAAGAGACGTATTGTGTGTCCAATCCACTGCGTTTAGAAACTATTTAGACCTAACGCTAAAAATGGAAAGAAAAAAAGCAGTTTGGTCATTAATAGCTTTCAGGTCTTACAGTGTCTTGAATAACTACAACGATAACTGAGTGTATCTACGCTCTAAAGCCCTCCTACAGAACAAATCAAGTTGCTGTTCCTTGCCTAGTTAGAAACAAGGGCACCGGGAATTCAAAGGATAGAGTGAAAAATAATCATAGTCGCACCCGCTATTACACAATTGGTGGGAGGTAAATTCGTCTCCTTCATAGTTTTTGAGAAAAAAAATATGACGACATACAAACTTGATTAATTCGAATTACTTCGAAACTAGGTAACGTTTCTTGTCATTGTGGAATTAAGAATTGCATTCATGCAATATGCAGACAAATACTTGATCGCATTGTTTTTCGACTTACAGATGCGTAAGGAAATCTTGTATTACTGTACACTGATGCAGGCTCGACAATGAATTTGTTCCATTAAATATCAACTCGTGAAACAGAGTATAGAAATCATAGCAAAGTAAGAGGTTATTTTTTGGCGTAAACAAGCTTCGCGCAATAGGAGATGGGAGAATGAGACTCTTCGTTCCAGTTACACGCTGTGTAGTCATAGCAATCAATCCCCAGAGCCAATAAGGAGCAGTATTAACCTGCCATGAAATAAGTACACCTGCTGCTAATGCATGTATCACCTGTTAATTGGTTAAATGGCGTAAAACAGTGTTCAAAACTACGTGCAAATTACTGTTTGCTACATTTTAAACGAGTTACGAAGCCAAAGCTAAAAAGGCAGCTCAAATCGCCGAAATGGCGGCCCTGAAATCAACTGGGCCGCTTTATCTCAGCCTTGAGGAGTCGATTCCATTTTTGACTATTCTTACAATTATCGGTGTAACCTCTACTGCAACTAATTTGCTAATTGTCGGTACAATTTGCAAGAACTCACAGCGAAAGAATTACGACTTGTTCNCCGCTTTATCTCAGCCTTGAGGAGTCGATTCCATTTTTGACTATTCTTACAATTATCGGTGTAACCTCTACTGCAACTAATTTGCTAATTGTCGGTACAATTTGCAAGAACTCACAGCGAAAGAATTACGACTTGTTCACGTTACATGCCAGTCTGGTGGATTTATTGACGACGTTAGTGGTGATCCCGTTTTGGATTCTTTCCGCGATTCATAGTCAAGTTGATTTCGTGGGGGATATCTACTGCAAAATAAGCGCAACCGTAAGTTTGATGGAGTTAGTGGCACCAGTAATGTTCCTGACACTTATCGCGGCTAGTAGGCACTGCTCAATTGTCGACAGGAAAGCGTATCCAAGAATCTTCAGCGATTCTAGAACCAGAATGATGGTTTTGATTGTATGGCTGTTTGCAGTGACTATTTGTATTCCACCTCATTTTACATGGCCAATTTCTCCAGAAGTCCTGTGTCTTCCCGATTTAATCAGCAATTTGTGGTACACAACAGCGGTACTGGCTTTTTGCCTGCTATTACCACTTAGTGCTGCATTCTACTCTCAAGTTTACGACATTTTTCTCTTCCAGCCAGAACGCATTAAGAGGAACGAATCTATGAAAAAGCAATGCGAGAGATTCGCACTCCGAGGAGGCGAGAAAACCACTCAAAAAGCATACTTCTGCATTCTCATAGTTCACACCATTTGTTGGGCGCCGTATACGTGCGTGGCAATGGCCCAGGCTCTGAACAGTGGGGTCGTGTTTTATTTAGGTAATATCCCGCTTCACTTTATAGCGATGGTTGTGGGATTAACGGCAACTTCTTTAAAAGGAGTCGTTTCCTGCTTTGAGGTCCCGCATTTAAAAGAAATGATCAAGAGACAATTTGGGTGTTCCGAACGAGAGGAAAATACTTCACGGGAAGTTTAAACAAAACGTTACTCGTTTCCTATGAATTTTCAGTTACATTTAGTAACTTCAAATTTAGTACTAAATGTTTTCCATGAAAGGACACTTCCGGGAAAATTTCTGCCATATTGTGTATACTATATATATCCTTAATTCTTTTCTGATTTGAACAAAAAATCGTTAACAAGTCAGTATTTTATATTCACTGTAAAAAATGGCTTTAGTTCACAGAGTAAAGAAGCGAATTCCTACTTTGATAGACGTGAACGCTCATACAGCCACGGTTTAATGACCAATATGAATATCACTGCTATTCTGAATTATACAGATTGGAATGATTATTTCTAATTACAGTTAAGCTAATTAATATTGCAACATTTGCGACAAACCCGCAAAGCAGGTATCGCAAGGCTATGCTTTAATTACCATCATTTCGGTACGATTAATTTGTTGTTTCATTAACTGAAATGTGGGCTGAACCGATTGAGTTTACCCAAAGTTAATTGGTTACCCTAGTAAATCGGAGAATTTAACCCTGAATATGACAGTTTAGGACAGAATTGTCGGTTCTTAAACACTGGACAAATTAAGGCTCAGTTCTCCTGAGATTCAATCACTTCCAGGTGAAAAATATAAACTTCGCATAATTTGGGACATACCAAAAACAAACCACCTACGTAAAAAATAATTCCCATATGAAGAGCGAATAGTTTGTTTCTTTTTTTTTCTTTTTTGATGGACGAAGAAAACCTGTTTTGAACTGCTTGCAAGCTCTAAACTCTACTTGTCTAAAAAGTTAGGAAAACATAAACTGAACTAACGTTTAGAAATAACAATAAGAAAAATAACAAGGGATCGGACTTAGCAAAATTATCCAATGCGACTAAACTAATACCTTATAATTACTTTACCGTACAAAACAAAATGGTCATAATAAGCGGCTGAAAATAACAATGTTACACAGAAGCAAAAGAATGTACAATAAAACAAATGCTTTAATGCGTAGGCCACGTTTTGTTCAAGCGGTTTCCATTGTTAAGAAGCAAATTAACATTTTTCAGAGAAAAGTATTGGACCTGAGTATCCAAATTCGCAGGTTAACGCAGAAAGTTTGCCTCGAAACCCTATTGGAACGTCTTTCGTTGCATTCGCTTGCGTATAGCTGGAGAAAATCGTCAGCGCGCGCATTGAGGCAGAGGTGTTGCGAATCCGCGCGAAGAATGGGGAAGAGACACTTGGATCGGCGCTCGCATTTAGCGGCTAGTTAGCCAAGACTTTCACGGGCGCGGACAAATATATTAAAATTCTAACATGACTCCGAGGCTTGAGGGACAAAACTGCAAAATCTTTCGACTCCACTGTCTCGCAATTCCCAGGAGAGACTTGGGCACAACGAAAACCAAACCAAACATAGAAATATGACCAGAAAGCCTCAGAGTCATGTTAGAATTTTAATATATCAAACGTGGGCAATTCCGCCAGCTACGTAGACTATCGTTACATGCATCGCCATTCTCGTCAGCAAATAAATAATGTATCGAACAACTTATCGGCGTCTTTACCTACGTTTTACCGTCCTGTTGGAGTAGTTTTAACTTGAAACATCAAAAATTCAGCAGAGGTAATCCAACGTGAAAATAGATTAGAATACTAGGATAGTTCAAGGACGGTCAGTCAGATGGACTGAGGGTGTCTGGAGGTATTACATAAAACTGTAGCTAACTAGCCTGACTAATAGCAAGTCAGTGCACCGAAAATTCACTCTTCAAGCTTTTTTCGAAACAACTACTCAATGTTCAGAGTTACAGCCAATGAAAAATGAAAACTGAGAGATATACGAGTCTTCGGTTCCTAAATTGTAGTTACAGAGCTTCTATCTTAACGTTAATGATAACTTATTTCGTCGAAAAAAATTCGTGTTAATGTATAAGACATTGCCAATCGTGTGTGTAAAATGGTTGGGTTTTGATTGCGATATCAAAATGAAGACGAACTAGTTACTTTAATAATCCACACATTAGTAAGAACAGTTGCAACTAATAAGACATTTCTGAGTTGCCTCAGGCCTCTGTTTCAAAGCGAGGCTAAGTGCAAAGCTATTGATATGAACATGATTTTTTAAAAGTAAAATAAAAAAATAAAATAAAACTCATTTTCACAAGAAAGCGTTTGCACTTAGCCTCGTTTTGAAAGAGTAAGATTTTGCAACTCGGAAATGGCCTATCAAAGAAAACGTACCGTTAAAAGACTCAAGGCAGATAATTCACAAAAGCCTTTTATAACGTATAACGTAAATAGAGGATATTACACGGTGGCGAGAAGATATGAATTTTATGTTCGAGTGGCAAGAACATAAAATTCATATCTTCGAGCCAACGTGTAATGTTCTTTTTATTATATGGAGAAACCAATTCAACAAAAGCAAAAGGCGGGAATCGTGACGTCATTGAACGATACGACACTCACAAAGGTGACATACGGAAAATACGCCACTCGGGTCCCGGATGAAGTGGCGTATGGAATCTACGAGTGGTTTAGTTCCCAGTAAAACACTCTCCTCCATATAATAAAAGAATTTATGTCTCTCTTCGTGTGGTCTGATTGGCTTGCTCAGAGGCGCATGCAGACGCCCGGGGCATTTATTTAATTTTAGGGGTCCAAGAGGGGGCGTTGAATAGATAGGAGGCGTTTATTCTGATAACTGTAAAAAGCTCAATAAAACTTAAATGCATCGGCGATAATATCGAGAGAGTTAAAAAATGGCAGAATATCCAGTTTATCAATCTATACGTCTAGGCCGTCTAGAAATCTATACCACTCTTTAATCTTGACATCGATGTCGGGGCCATCGTTTTGTATTCGTTAGTGTGACTTTGAACTTAACATTGAACAAGAAACAACACGCAAACCCTGTTAATCAAGCAAGAAACTAAATAAATTGGATGATTTTGCTCCTTTTTGCTAATTCCTAGTAGTTTGGAGTAGTTGTCATTGAGGCGTGTATTAGAGAGGGGCGTCGAACATAAACTTGAAAATGTAGAGGGGGCATAGTAGATGAGAGGCATTTGTTTGAGAGAGGGCGTCTATTACATCATTTACTGTATATCTAAGTTGGGGCAACAAACAACATTGGATTGGAAGGTTTTGCTTCGAGAACCTTTTTTTCCACCCCTTCATGTCTTGTTTCATGAGCGAAAACTGAAGTTTCTTTCTGCTGACATACGGTAATAACCAAACGATACTTGACGACATTCATTCAGTCCTAGCGGTATGTAGGATGTTTGTCACATGAAACTAGTTTAGTGGCCTTGGCTTGTCTAAATTAGGGCATAAAACAACTTTGTTTTAAGGCCATTCACGTTTTGTTTAGTGACCGAAAAACTTTAGTTTCTTTTTCCCGACATACGGTAATTAATAACCAAACAAACCTTGGCGACATTCTTTTTATTTCTTATGTCTTCATTCGTGCAATGCCTCACTCAGTGGATTCTGCGATAGCGTTCATTCTCGAAAGCGGTGATTATTTGCTCGTCCACCTTACATGCAAATGCCAAGTCTTACAAGCAAATGTTGCTACTGGGAAAACGAATGCTCTAAAGACGCTCAGTTGGTCTGTTCATCTTGCCCTTTCGATAAGTTTCCCATTCTATCCAAAGCTCTCAGACCCTAAGCCAATCTACTTTCGATCTCCTTACTATTTCACCGCCTCGGACTCCACCTATTAAAATCAAGACCCACCTTAAGGCTAAACCTTAATTTGGAAGACTGGGAAACTAATTAAAAATGGTACGACCAACAGAGCGAACGAATTGCAAACCTCTGCATCAGTTATTATGCACAGGCAAGTAACGTCAGACGAATACAACAAACACCCTGAATCCCTGGCACCACTGCAAAGATCTTGCCTTGTTCCGGAATGACTTAATTAAGTCTTCTTTGAACAAACCGAGAAAGAATTAACGACTGTCACAGAAGACTTAACTACTACAACACGCAACAAATTACAACAACGATTTGGCAAATTTAAACAACTTATACCGACTACCTTACTTAGTACTATAAAGAAAGAGGAATATTTCTTCAGGTCCATTAGACGAGACTGAAACACATCAAGTACTTTCCTATGGACTTAAACAAGTAAACGATTACTAACTGACACTATTCTCTTTTGAGGTCAGCATTGAGGCAGTTCTGTCTCGTCAAGTTTTCTGTTATCAACAAAAGAAAATTTGAGCCTTGTAAGCGTAAGGTAAAGATTTTACGACAGTTTGAAAATTTCACAGTTTACAGAGATTTGTATTGAAAACTACTCAAACGTGAATGGATGGCAAGAGTTGTTTTTTTTTCTCATATAAATCCTTTTAATTTATTGGCGGCTGTTGGAATCGCCACTTTTTGAAATTATACTGTGAAAATTTAGAAGTTTCCTACAGAATTTTTATATCCTCATTTAGTTTTGGCTAAATTAATTTTTTTTTCTTATTCCCATGTCATTAGTTAGACTAGTAGGTGGGGGTGAGAAGGAAGAGTTTTATTTTTGGGGGGAGGGGGGTAGATTTGGAAACCCCTAACTTTACCAAGTACCTTTATTCAGGACTACATTCAACCTGACCTTCACATAACACCTACTTATTAGGGGATTCAACCCATTTACTATATGGATCAATTAATAATGTTAGTTATATAACACTTTTCATTTGGTATTAATAATTGAGATCCTTTGCTCAATTTGCAAAATGTCTTAAGATTTAGTGTATATTATTATGACCTACATTATGTACTTCCAAAGGAATGGTTAAGTTGTCTTATGTAATAAAAAACAGCATTTCATGCACTAAACATTCTGACAAGAGGAGCCCACAATCCTCATTTCCAGGGTGTTATTACGTATGCAAATAAAACACGTATGTGGCCAGCTTCATTTAAACTTCCACTAAGAGTGAATGGAATGCACAAAATGTAATCTGATCAGGCGGGTTTAGACCTCCTATCCCTCATAATTTGATCAAGCGTGTTTTAACCATCTATCCCTTGAAAATAATGCAAAACACAGCATTGGTGCAAGAACATTTTAGCCTTCAATCGTTCTCACCCCTTCCTTCCCCCCCCCCCCCCCCCCCCCCCCCCCCCCCCCCCCCCCCCCCCCCCCCTCACCCTTTTTTTTTTTTCCAATTTATTAAACAAGGGTAGTTTATAAAATTATTTTATATAGGAGAAGAAAAAGCCACAACACTC